GGTCACAAACTCTTGCAAGACTGTTTTAGGCTGGACATAAAGAAAAACTTCTTTATTGTCCAAGCCCCAAGGCCTGGAACAAACTCCCCTCAGGTGGTGCAAGCACCTACTCTGGACACCTTCAAGAAACACTTGTTGGGATCCTTTGCTGGGATCCTTTGACCTTAGATGTCTTCTTGCCCCCTTGGGCAGGGGGCTGGACCCGATGATCTTATGAGGTCCCTTCCACCCATAATGTCTATGAAACAGGGGCATGACCTAGTTTGGATGTTCCCAGTGCCCCAACACTCATGCTTCAAATCCAGCAATACACTAGAGAGGCTGCCCTGAGGCATCCCTCTGTGGCTTCTCAGGCATGCCAGAGCCCAGTCCCAAGCACCCACAGAGGAATTCCTTGGAGCAGCTTCACCAGACTACTTTCAGGCTTAGAATGAGTAGGACTTGATTGTGAATGATCTTGCTGGGGCTTGCTGTTGCCACAATGTAAACCGGGGGTGAGCAAGATTCAGCCCACGGGTTGGTTCTGGCCTACTGAGGGATTTTGTCCAGCCCACGGCAGCTCACTTGGCATGGGGGTAGCTGGGGATGTGGCACATGTGGCTGGTCCTGCCACCCCTGTGTGTGCAGCAGAACTGGAGCAGCCCATTTCCCTGTAGCCCCAGCAACGGTGGCTCCTTCTAGCTGGTATTGTCACCAGACCCAGCCCTGCTGTCCAGGCACCTGAGCCACAGCTGGGCCGGGGCTGAGCCTTGGTTCTGTGGGCAGGGATGTGTGGGGAGTGGATTGTAGCTCTTCCTTGGCCCTGCACTGTCACTGCCCTGTGATCCCAGGATCTCTGTGGAGACTGGTTGGGAGCTGCACAGACAGGGTGCCTGGTGGGGCAGTTGGGATGGGGCCATGGGTGGGCAGGGAGCTGAATCTGGGGCTGGGATCGTGGTGTGGTGACCGTGTGCAGCCAAGGCAGAGCTGCGATTCATTCCCTGCAGGGCCCTGCCTGTGGAACTAGCGCCCATTGCAGGGGCATGTGGGCAGTGGATTGCAGCTCTGTCCCAGCCCCCATGCTGTCGCCATGTTGCGGCCCTGGCCTCTCCCACCCATCCTGCTCCTGAGCACAGCCCCTCACCTGTCTGTGGCCCCATCCCATATAGGGAGTTTTGGTAAGCTGTTGTAGGGAGAGAGTGGGGGTGCTAACCCAGCCCACAACAGCTCAGCAAAATTCCCTTTGTGGCCTGTGGACCCAAATACTTGCCCACCATTAGTTGTTAACAGTGCTCCAAAATACACCTGTTTGCTCAAACATGCTGATATGTGGTGTGACCTGAGGGAGAGCAGAGCAAGGCTGGTGATTCTAACTTTGGGTCCTGAGAAAGGGGTTCCTGAGAAAACAGCCTTTAAGGATTGTGGTTTCTGACAGATTGTCCAGATTTTTGTGGAGCTGTGGCTCAGACTGGCTCTGATCGTTCCCAAAAAGGTGTCCAACTTTTCTTCAGGAAGCCTTATTGAGTATAGCCATCAAAAAGTTACGTTTTCTCTAGATAGGAGCCTTGGGTACCTGCTTGTGCCAAACACATACTGTTATATATGTGCAGAATGATTGAGTAGGAGTTTCCAGCCAGCTAGTCTTCCTCTGACCTAGGTAGCTTGGGATCATGCTGTGTTCACTGAACTTGAATTACACCTTGGTATTGTAAGTTTGAAACTTAACCTTAGCTGAAGTGGGAGAGTCATGATGCTGCAGTTGGGCCTTTATTATGAGGAAATAGAATTTAAGTAAGGTACATAATCTAAGATTAATTAATTTTTTTAAACTCAAGTTTGCACATGTTAATCTTGCTTCTGGGTGATGGATCTCTGCACAGGAGTTTGGACTGTTTTCTCCAGCAGGGTCTATTAAGGGTAGTGCACATGCCCTCTGCCTTCTTGTTTCTTCTTGTGTAAGTATAGAGCTGAGGCTGAGTCAATCCCATGGCAGAACCTTGACTTCCAGGTGTGAAGGCATATTCTTCTTGCAGTGGGAATGATACATGTCTACTGTTTAGGACTTCTGTGTCTTACAAGAAATGCTGAGAAAGAGAAGAGAATCTGTATTAAACTTCATAATGGAAGAATTCATGATTGTGGCTTTGGATTCCCAGGGGCTTTGTAGAGCGACTGTATCATCATCTTTCAGATTACATACTTCCACTGCCTTAGAGGTAGGAGAGGTAACCTTGAGACTCCAGAGAACAAAGAGAATTCACTCTTTTGCTTAGTTTCCTGCAAGAAGACTAAATCCCTTGTGTAGGCATTGCGAGAACAATCAGCTGCTCCTGCTATGTGTGGGAGAAAGAGCTTGCCTTTGGTCACAACCTAATGCTGAAACTACCTTTATCTTTGGAACTGGTAGCTAGGATTAAACCATTGGTGCTGGCTTAGTCAGCACCAAGGCCAGTGTAGCTCCAGCGGACTCATAGTAGGTCTGTGTGAAGCAGCTCGTATTCACTTTAGATTTGGATTCGGCCGATTTTTATTTTTTTTTGGTACAGGGATTTGATTTGGTGATTCGAATCATTGTCCTGAATCAATTTAGCTGAATCTGATTTGGAGGTATGGCTGCTGCTGAATTGGCCAAATCTCTGAATCAAGCTGCCCTGCTTGGCCCCATCATCCTGGCTCTTTTTTAATAGCCCCGTACTCATCAGCTTCTGCCAGGCAGGGTGAGGGGTGATCCCCGGTGCCCCCCCACTGCCCTGCGCTGTGTGTGGGGGGCTGTGCCACGAGCCCCCAGAAGCCCTGATGGCCGCTGCAGTAGCCAGTGAGTGCGGGGCTTTTTCTTGTAAAGAGCCAGGGCAGTGGGGCTAGGAGAGTGGGTGGGGGTTGGGGGGCACTCAGGGGCTGGGGGAGTGGGCAGGGGATGGGGCCTGGCGGGGGTCCCCTCATGGTCTGTTCCCTACTTACTGTCATGGAGTTTGGGTCCACCTCCCTGCGGCAGTGAGCGGGGATTGCCCAAATCTCTCTGAAGCTCTCTGAATCTTTTCTGAATTGATTCGGAGAGCATCAAATCGTTTCAGACCTTTTTTTTGGTCTCCTGATTCAATTCAGATTTTGGCTGCCAAATTGGGGCCGAATCTCCTCTGAATCGAATTGGCACCCGAAGCTTCACATACCCCTAACTCTTAGTACTGAAGGTTGCTGCACCAATTTGGATACAATGGAGGTACTTCAAAAGACTCTGGGCCCACATTAAGATTATTGGGCATTTTACATCCGTGTGATTAGAAGGTGACCATGTATATTGCAGCATTCTTTGAAGCAAAAATCTCAGCAAACTTCCTCCTCTTGATAATTTCATCATGGTGGATGCCACCATTATGAGGGAATTTTAGGGGGGAAAAAAATTAAGACTATATTCAGTGATGTCTCCTGCCTTTCCAGAACATCTCTTTCAGGGACGCTCAGACCTCTGAAAACTGCGAAGTGGAATTAGGATATACACCATCTCAGTTTTAACTCTATCCTGTTTACACCTGTTAAGACTGTTGCACATGCTCTTACTCTGCTTTTGAGCCCCATTTCTTAAATGATGTGAACTGAGTATAAATCCTTACCATTGCTGAGGTAGAGGTGTATAGGTGCTGTGTACTGAACAGTTTTATGCTCGAGTGTGTAGCTGACTCCTCATCCCTCACTGGCCAGGATTTTGGAGCCCGCTCACCTTTACCCGTGGATTCTCGCTGTGTACTTTCACTTACCTTTCAACAAATCCACAGACCCACCTAGCTTTTTTTCAGAACCATCAGATCTTGGCTGGAATGAGTAGTGTATCTCTTGGGTAGACATGCTTCTTTTTCCTTTGATCACATATATAGAGAAGGGGGAGCACAGCAGGGGCATAGATACTCCTGTTAGGAGCCTTTCAGACCTCCACATAGCATAATCACAGCTTTTCCAGACTGCTTCATCTCTAAGTCCCTCCACCATCCAGCGCAGCTATGCCTGATGCAGTGAATGCAGCTGGATCCCACGTGGCTAATTCCTGGTGGCTATTGCCCATTCCTAGGGGGCAGAATTAAGGTTGCATTACCACATGTCTTTATTCTTGGTTTGCATAGGTTTGCGCAGCAGTGAAATCAGTACTATGATAGAAGGGCAGTACAGGGCAATCTTAACTCTGTTAACAAGGGTTTTGTTGGTGAATGTTTGTAGAAGGTGGAAGAAACTAAATGATAGCTGGAAGACTGATTTGTACACAAAACAGGTAACAGTACAGCCCAAGGTAATGCTGTATTTCCCAAACAATTGTGCAGTGTTCTGCTACCCACTTCTGTGGGAATAGCCTCTGACAGCAAGTTCATTCTCTGTGAACACATGGTCTTGAGACTTTCTTCAGGAACTGTGCTGGGGCCAATCAACTAATTTAATGTAGGTTAGTGAATGGTAATAGCCAGCAGTCATGGCTTGTGACCTGACTTAAGAGTTGAACAATGAATGTAGAAGTGAAGACCTCCATGGTGAACTTTTGAGTGTAGAAAAGAAGAAATTACTCAGTGGTGTGTGGGAATTTAGCTTTCTAACTCCTGTTTGTACCAGTGACAGTCACCTGCTTAAATATCTGTGTGTTACTTAAAAAAACCAGCCCAAACCCCTGTATTTTTAATAGTCCACCAGCTAACATGCCAGGTTCCCTGTGATGTTAAGGCCCTAATGTTACTACAGCTGTGTCAATGTAGTCATCCTGACTATGGATAATGAGGAATCAAGTGGGAAAAGGCCTGAGGGGTATGACAGAATCACTGTTCTTTAAGTAGGATGCTAAATGTATTTTATTGTTCTGTATTGCTGAAAAACATGCCATCCTCTGCTTTATCTTCACGTCTCTCTCCAGCAACTTGTCTAGGAATGGATATAGACATCTTTTGGCTTCTAGTTGGATAGGCTGTATATATCTTTCACATGCTAGAGATGTCTATTCATGCCTGAATTTTTTCCCTTTTTTTATTTCTGTAGGTTTGTTTTGAAGGAACAAAGCTTTTAAAAAGAAAAAAAAAAGGATTTGCCAGATAAGAAGATGGGAGCAAACAGCAGCAGCCTTAGTGAGCTGCCAGAAAATGACTACTTAAAAAAATTGTCGGGAGCTGAAGCAATCTCTGAGAATGACCCCTTCTGGAATCAGCTGCTTTCATTTAGTTTTACTACCCCAACAAACAGGTAAGAGAATACCACATCTCAGGCCTTTTAATAGGTAGGCAGTGTGTTAGTAAGAGATACAAAAGTGTTTACTTTGCATAAGTTATGTTTCCTCTTTGTGTGTGTGCAAATGTCCAACTGTATATGGACTGTAGTGTTTTGTATTCTGGGTTCCTTTTCCACAATATTCTATCATGGCTGTGGATTCTTTCTTCTTGTAACAGCTGTAATTCCCACTTATTGTCCCCACAGCCTGGGAAGATCAGCAATAGGTGATCATCAGAAATAGGTGCTGTAGGGGCCAAACACTGTTCTTGCTTCTTGCATTAGCTAACTCAAGGAATATAGAGTGAAGCGTCTTATCCTTATGGTGCTGAGCACCTTGAACTTCCACTGGATCTAATGGGAGCTCAGGGTGTTCAGCACTTCATGCTGTGGGCATCCATCCATACTAGGACTTCTCCTGGCTCATGTCCTCTTCTAGACCCTGGTTGTCATGGATGGTTTTTCACTTTGTGCATCCTGCCACGTTGAAGCTGTAAAATTTCTTCTGGAGAACTGGGAGCAGGGTAGAAAGGCTGTATTTGAGGCTTAAGGTAGTACAAACCCTCTTGAGATAATGACTCATGTCTTCATATTGGTAGTAATTTTTACATCTCTGATTTCCCACATCATTAACAGCCATATGGAAGGAGAGAACCCAGCCCCTTTAGGTTTAGGTTAAGCCCAGAAAAACAGGAGGCGTGCTGTTTCTTCTTCCATCCTTTGTTTAGTGAAGATACTTTTCCGTTGCAACAAGTGATGCTCATAAACAAAATGGATATTTCTGAAAGTTCATAGCTTATCTCTACAAATCTCAAATGTCCAGTTTTGAGCTGACTGACTATTTTGACCATGTCATAATTCAGAAACTTGAGTGGCTTCCTTAGGAAGACAGTTTGCATCTTCAATGCAGATTTATCCAGCGGAACACAGTTTTTAGATTTTTTTCAGCCCTTTCCTGTAAGGGGAGTGATTACGTGTAGTAGAACACTACTGCACTCTCACAGATGTTGACTTGAATTTTAAAGATGAGGCATGCAGTTTTGATTGGCCTTTCTCTGCCCTGTGTTATACTGCATACCCTAGCCCTTCCCCTGCCTCTCGACCTCGCCAACACTCCACAGCTGCCCTGGCCTGTCCCCTGTTTCCCTTTTCTTTCCATGTAGCTGTCTTTCCCTGCTTCCTCCAGAATGAAGTAACGTGTCTTTTGCTACTATTGTGTTGCACACTTTGCTTGTGTCTGACACCTCTGTCATGTCTGTTGTACCCCTTATCATTGCAAGCTCTTCAGGACACAGTCTTTGTACTCCAGTATTGCTTGAATACTTCACAGGGTTAGGTTCCTTATCCCCCTGTGAAGATGAGGTTTTGCAATTTATGCCCATGATTCAACAGCTGTGTAGGACTGCTGAGGTGCCAGCTGTTTACTGCAGCTTTTATTTGCAAGGGTGTCACTTGTCCAGTCAGCTGTGTGGGACTGATGCTGAGCTCCAGCTGATGGAGAAGTGTAGCTGTTAGAAGTAAAAGCTGCGTGGGTCATCCTTCATCCAAAAACTGCTTCAAATTAAGTAGGTTGTGAGCTACCTGGATATGCATAATCTGGGTTCTGCTGCACTTTGATTCCCCACCCCCCCACACACCTCCTTAAATACTGCTGTAATAAACCTACTTGATGGTAATGTAGTCTAGACTCTCTTTGAAGATGCTTTTGTTTCATGTCTCTAAAGTGGGAAGAGGGCTTAGAAATCAGCCTACAGAATACTGATTTTGAGAGAATTGCCTGTTCCTGTGGCTTCAGTTAACTGCATTTTAATATTCTTCTGCACCTGTATGTGACTAAATTCATTAACCTGCCAGTGTTAATGCCCAGGTACAGACATTACTTTTTTTTACCGATGTTAAGTGATCAGGAACTGGTCTATACCCATAACAGAAGACAAGTTCAGCACACGTGGCCTGGCTTAAAAATTGTGGAACCCAATCTAAGATTTGACCCCTTCTCCCCCCACCTCCTCCTGGGTGAATGTGCGTTCTGTTCATGACCAGTCTAAACTCTGCCACTTGCAGAAAACTGCATAGCTTATATTGATTCCGCCTTGGGCTTTTTCAGTATCTGTACCTAGCCAATAGGCAGACAAGGTTCATTGGGTAAATCTGGTATCTTTTATTAGACCAACTCAGATAGTTGGAAAAAATTTTCTTAGCAAGCTTTTCGATATAAATACCTTTCATGAGGCTGAGGAAGCATCTGCAGATGGTCTGTGCTCTTCCTGGATGGAGTGGTAACACAATCAGAGGCCAGCACATATGCAAGAAAGCCAGTCAGTTAAAGTGTAAATTGAGGTCATTTTTTAACTGTCTGGCTTTCTTGCATATGTGCTGGCGTCTGGCTGCTTTACCACTCCATCCAGGAAGAGCACAGACCATCTGTAGATGCTTCCTCAGCCTGATGAAGGGTGTTTGTACCCGAAAGCTTGCTAAGAAGAATTGTTCCAACTGTTTGAGTTGGTTTAATAAAAGATAGTGGATTTACCCAAAGAACCTTGTCTGCCTATGTCCTTAGACCAACATGACTACAACCTTCACCCCTGTACCTACCCAATATCATTCTCATGTAATAACCAAGGTTGTAATTCAACCTGAATCTTTAAGGCTAGCTTTAAAACAATGTGGCATTTGAATTTACTTATGCTGATAGCTTTTCCGTCATTTATCTTGGGACTGTTTGTCTCTTGTCAAAGGTAGCAATGTCTCTGACAAAGATATCCAGCCACTCATTAAAGTTTTGTGAAAGGTACATTGAAGCTGTTCTGTTGGTTATAGTCTTTTACAGTCAAGGATGTGATCCATGCATACATATATAATATCTCTTGTACATAATGGTTAAAAACATGTATTGAATAGAATTCTGTTCTTTTTCTTTTTTCTGTTACATTTCAGATGCTTTTTAATTGAATTGTAGCCAAAATATATAATATTTAAATAAAGTAAGAGGATCACATGGAGTTGTGCAGTTTACTAATACCTGGAGATCTTAAATTTTGAGTATAAATCACAGATTTAATAAGGACAGAACTAAGATGATAAAATTACTGATATGATACAGTATAGATTTGAAGTTGCTTCTTTATTAATCCTCAGAATGCTAAACATAGTCACTTTTAAATGGTCATTTGATGTAAATTAGATTTCTCAGGGATTGGGAACAAGTCGGGTGTATGATACCACTCTGGAGTTCATAGTAAGTTTTCTTATATCTGGTAAGTGGATTGACTGACCGCCCCGCCCCCCCCTGGGTGTAGGGAAGAGTTTTGAGCAGCTGAGAAATAAATCATCCTTAAAAGTTTCTGGTATATTGGAGGCTGGTCTGGAAGGCCAAAATGGGACAAGTAAATAGAATTAGCATCTTGGAGGCACATCATGGTACTTTTATTTGAGGGA